GCGGGGTGGGGGGGGAGGACCCCCCCCCCGCCCGGCGGCGCCCTTGCGACCACAGGCACACCCGATGGGAGCCTCACCCGGCCTCGTGCTGCCCCCTCCCGGAGGTCCCGGGCGCATGCCGCGGGGGAGGGAGGGACTTGGGGGCAGGGACAGCCTGTGCCTACTTAAGAAGCTAAACTGGGCAGTGACCTTTGCCAATGTATCCTGCAGACATCTGTGCCCGCTCTTGGTTTACGGTGGGCTTCTCTGCAAACCTAAGAGCGCAAAACAAATGAGAATAGGAGCAAAAGGGAGAGTGAATAGTACCTCGTTTCCGAATCGATAGCAAGGCGCCCAAGGGCCAGCATGAGCGGGCCGTTCCTGCCCTGAATGAAGGGCCCTGCCTGCCAGATGGGTGGGCTCCCTGTGCCTGCTCGCCTGGAGAGGCTCATTTGCACTCTGTGTCATGGGGCCCTTCACACCATGCTCCTGGAATTTAGCCCCGTGGGGTATGTGAAGCCAGCCTCCTCAGCCTGCTTGCTCTCCACTTCCTTCTGACCAGAACCTGGAGGATGCCAGTGGTGTGGAATGCAGGCTGGCAGAGAACCCGTGAAAAGCATTGCCAGGGCTCTTCCAGTCCACTTCCTGAGACTTCATTCCCATCAAGGATCCCCCCTTTGCCTTGTTAAGCTTTCCTGCCCTCAGGTGAAAAAGAGGGGCAACCTGATTTCCCCATCAGGCAGAGCCAAGGAAGGGGCAGACAACCTCTAGGGAAACTGCCCTGGCTCTGGAAATCGAGGAACCGGGGCAGGGGGGCGGTCTTCTCACTCCCTCTGGTGACCTCTGCCTGCTTTGGTGCACAAACCTCATTTGCAATCTGTGCAGCCAGGAAAGGACACCCCCTGTGAAGGGGTGTGTGTGTGTGTGTGATCTCCACCCATGCACCCCGCTGACAGATGTCAACCAGCCCCTTTCAGAAGACGCACTCCTATTCCATCCGTGGAAGGGTTTGGGTGGGCCTAGGCACCCATTTGGCCTCCACCTTCCCGGTCCTTAAAACCAGCCCAGTCCCTCGTGGCCCATGGCAGGCAGGTAGGCAGTGTTCCAGCTGTGAACTTGTGGCTGTAACCTGCTGCAAGATTTATGGGAGGCAAAGCGGCAGGGTTAGGGCTGTCTTCAGTCTGCCCTCCTTGGCCCAACAGCAAATCTCATGGCCACCCAGTGTGTTCTGCTGCACCCCAGAAATTAAACCCTAAAACAGAGAGCCTCAGATGCAAGAAAACAAGAGAAAGATGAGGTAGGAAGTCAGAATGTGGAAACCGGCCACACTGGCTCCTTTGGTCCGCGCACCACCCGGAAGATGCTTGTGCCTCCTGCTCAGTGGGACGATGCTTTGTGCTGGATGTGGCAGGCTTTGCAGAAGAGGCGGCCCTCCAGAGGGTAGCAGCCATCCTCCGTTGGTTCTGGGGACAGCAGGACCCGGCAGCTCTGCAGCACAAAGGGAAGCAAGCGTTGGCTCTGTGACAGCCCCCAGAGAAAGGATCCTGAGTGCCCGCGCTCCTGGGCACCCCAGAATGCACACTGTGTGCTTCTGCTTAGGGGACAATGAGGTGCGGAGAAAGCCCCAGACCAGCAGACAGCTGTTACAGCCCCTGGGATTGGTTGCGGCACCTCCACAAAGCACTTGCACGTCTGTGACTGGAACAAAAATGCTACTTTAAAGACAATTCCATTTGTCCTTAAAGCCCAGCTTCACTTGATCGCATGTGTTGATATGTACAATACTTCTTCAAAAAACTCTTCTGTGTTTTCAGTTTGCTTTTAACGTTCCATCTTACAAAACTGCATCTTGGAATATCACCGGCTTGGGGGGGGGGGGAGTCAAATGGCCATCCAAGATGTGGACTTGGGCTGGGGACCAATATGGGCCACAGCAGAAAGCAGGGCAGGCTGGTGGTGCAGAAGGGGAAAGATTTTGGACGTGGGCAGAGTGGGCACGCGGGAACCAGGGGCCTTCAGAGTCTCAGCAGTTATTACAACGCTCTCTCTATAAAGTCCCTTTCCTCCCTGGAGAATTCGCAGTGTGTGTGGTCTTGGGGGAGGAGAGGAAAAGGTCGGATATTCTTTAGAAAGCAGGCCTGTAAAAGACTCTGGGGCCTCTGAAGGAGGGACACTCTGGTGGCACTTCAGCCACTGCAGAGATTAAGTTTCAGATCTCAGGAAAGAGGGCTGCATTTATGGATTTCCCCATGCCCCTAAGAACATTGGAAGTGCCCTGCTGGATCAGATCAGCAAGACCATCTAGTCCAGCCTCCTGCCTCACACAGTTCCTCTGCAGGGCCAGCAACGGGGGATAAAGGCCAAGGCTTTTTTCTGATGTGGCCTCCTGGCCATGGGATTCAGAGGCTGACTAGCTCTGAACGTAGCGGTTCCCTTTCGTCACTGTGGCTAGGAGCCACCGACAGACCCGCCTTCCTTAAAGCTGCCTGTGCCTGTCACCGCATCCTCTGGCAGCAAATTAATCACTGGGTGCGTTCAGACGCGGCTTTTGCAACGGTATAGGTGCCGGTTGCAATTGGTGTACTTACCGGCGTTCACACGTAGAACATCTGCCTTCCGTCCCTAACCGTTGCAAAACCCTTTATACCGTTGTACTCTGCCACTAGGTCCCCAAGTGGTGGTATCCTGAGTACAACGGTTGTAATCGCTGTACCCCCGTCTGATTGCTCTCCACCGTTCCAGAGCCACTTGCCCGCCATTTTTTTTTTTTGTTTAGGTTGCCGATATGCGCTTGGGCGAAGCTTCGCCCCGGCTTTTGTTTTTTTAAAATAGAAAAGGCCCTTTGTTTAACTTTCCGGAGGAGTCCGGGACTTCAGGGAGGCCAGTTTGGGCTTTACACTTTAAAGATAAGTCCTTACCTTTAAACTTTAAATGTAATACAGGGTGTTTTGAGCGTGCGCAAAGATTGCCATTCTGTGGATGGCTGCCTATGCGCATGCTCAAATTGAGTAAAAAAAAAAAAAGCCGACGCCCACAACATGTGAACGGGCATACAGCGATGGGCTCCGCTGTGAGGGAGGTAAGTGTGATCGCGTTTCAGCCGGCATAAACTGCACCGGTTCCAACCGGTACAGTTTATGCCGGCTGAAACGCCCCGTCTGAACGCACCCCTAGAGTGTAAAGAAGCATTCCCTTCTGTCCATCCTGAATCTAATGCCCCTGTCAGCTTCGCTGGATGCCCTGGAATTCTGGTATTCTGAGAGGAGGAGGAAAAGTGTTCTTTGCCAACTCTCTACCAGCTCAAATGCTGTAGGGGTTTTTTTTGCTTTCCAGCTGTACACTTTTTGTATCTTTTGATTTGCATATATACCTAAAAGATAAAAATTGCTCCCAAATTGAAGTTACCCTCTTTGCAATGATGCAAAAGCCTTCTACTCTAGTTCACGCCTATCAAAATACAAGAGAAAAGCGGGGAGAGCCTGCCTAGCTGGGGTTGTCTCTAGCAAGTGAGATTTCCAAAATCTCCCCCTATCAACATATAGAGATGTGAAGGGGAGGGGGGACGGGACACAATTCTTTTTCCTGAGACCCTTTACAACTTTTCCAGCAGGAAAAAAAATATGGAAATCTTGGGGAGTACTAAAAAACTCCTATGAAATATTTTCTTTTGGAACAAGTAAAATGCTGTTAAAGACAAGATGGGCATGTTGTAGGTATATGCAGCTCTTAAAGCCAAGATGCATTTCTGCACCTAGAAGGATACCAAATCCTTTTCTTGGGGGCGGGGGGTGGTGGTTATTTTTTGTATTTTTCCATATGTGCATGCGTGTGTGTGTGCACCTGGAAGTCATGGCGACCTCTGGTGACTGACCCCTACTGGGGGCCTGGAGGACATTCAGAGAGGTGGCTGAATAAAGCCTGCCCCCCTGCCTCCCACCTCTGGTATTCCAAGGAGGTCTCCCATCCAAGTACTTGCCAGCGCCAACCCTGCTCAGCTTCCGAGATGGGACAAGACTGGGCTTGCCTGGGCTAACAAAGGGTCAGGGCGAAGGATGCCTAATCTTCACGAGGGAAGCATGCAGGGCTTCCACCACTTCTCAGCTGCTGCACACCTTTTGTCGCCCTTTTCACCTGACTCTTCCTTTGTGGTTGACTTTTTCACCTTTCTCTCTCTCAAACCACTGTGACACACACATCCACAGACCGGGTAACAAGTTGCTTATTCCCCTGCCCTGCCGGGGGGGGGGGGGAGAGGAAGAGGGGCAGAAACTGCACCAAAGCCCAGAGGAAGACTCAGAGTTGCGCTGAGAGCTGAGCCACCCCCACCCACCCACACACCCATTAGCCACAGAGGGAGCAAGGCAGCATCTGGCTGGAACTCATGTGCATCAGCCCGCAGATCTCTCTCTCTCAAGTATTGGGGATATTTGTAATTGTATTAGTAGACCCGAGTGTGCCGCATGACGGAGTGAGCTCCCGTCTCTAGTTCTAGCTCCTGCCAACCTAGCAGTTCGAAAGCAAGAAATTGCAAGTAGATAAATAGGTACCACTTCGGTGGGAAGGTCACAGCATTCCGTGCGCCTTGGTGATTAGTCATGCCGGCCACATGACCACGGAAACGTCTTCGGACAGTGCTGGCTCTTCGGCTTTGAAACGGAGATGAGCACCGCAACCCTAGAGTCGAATTCGACTGGCTTTTGAGCAAGGGAACCTTTACCTTTACCTAAGGCATTTATAACTTTTAACGTCTATCAATATGTCAAATATTGCAATCAGGTAGCCTGATTAAGTTGTAAGTGACACCTGTTGTGTCTGATGGGACTTTATCCTGCTCTTATCCCGCCTGTGCCCTGTGCATGAGCTTCCTCCCACTGGCCTTGTTGTGACTGGTTTGCTCCCCTCGAAAGCTGCTTCGAGCAGATATCTGGCAAACTGGCATATCGATTTCTCCAGTAAAAACAATACAATCGCGAAACAACATGGGGGACTCAAGAAGATATTTGATCAACTAGAATGCCGTCCTCTCACAATAAGGGAGAGCTGTGGACTAAATTACTGGGTAGGTCTGTACAGCCCTGCCCTGGGTGGCCTGACCTCATCAGATCTGGGAAGCTAAACCAGGTCAGCTCTGGGGAGCATCTGAATGGGAGACCACCAGGGCCATGGCGTGGAGGCAGGCCATGGCAAACCCCCTCTGGATGCCTCTTGCCTCGGAAACCCCACGAGGGGTCGCCATAAGTCAGCTGTGACTTGAAGGCAACAGCAACTGCAGAGCCCTGGCGCGACTTCTACGCCTGCAAGCAACCTGACGTGCACGGCCTTCCTTGCTTTGGTTTTACGCCAAAAGGATGGTTGATAATTTGCATTTTAAAATGTGCAGGTCAATCAACTGCGCCCCCCCCGTCCCCCTGCAAGCACCTGGATCGCAAGGCCTCTTCGCTCTGGCACCAGACTCACCTGACAGCGATAGCAGTCCTCGTGGAAGCTCCGTCCCAGGCACTCGACCCTGTAGTCATCTCTCCCTTCACTCGGGGTTATGGGCTTCTCGCAGGCGCTGCACACTGATGCGAACTTCCTGGAAAGCAGGCCATTTCACTGTCTTTCACACTACAAGTCATATATTTAAAAAATCTTCAAGGTGGTTCTTCAGGGGCTGCTTTTAAGTGTGGTTAGACTGAGTTTCACTATGCTTTTCTACAATGCCCCAAGAGGTATCACATAGCTGGGGGGGAAATTTATTTTATTTTAAATTGTTTACTTTAAATATTTCTGTGCCACCTTCCCTCCTAAGCCATGGGGGCCCACTAGCAGGAGGAGAACGATACACTTAAAAGCATTTTGTTCCAAACGGTGTACCTGTAAAAGTCACCCAGGCAATGCAGCTGACCCTCTCCGTCCACCGCAAAGGTCTCATCCCCGATGGCCCGGCCACACTCCACACAGACGAAGCACTCCGGGTGGTACCCGCTGCCCAGGGCTCGCACAATCTGGCTCCAGATGGAAGCCTGGCACTTGGCACACTTCTCCAGGGCGTTCTTGGGGTGGGGGAGAAGCCCAAAGAAGCAACGGAAGTTGAAGGGCCTGACTGATGTCGCAGTGGGCAGCACTCCCCCTGCCCCCCCCCCCAGCTGCCCAGCACACAGCCCCAGTCCTTTGGCGGCTGTGCCTGAAGCGGCCTCCGCTGTCCCTGGAGAGCTGCTGCCTGGAGTCCAAACCTTGAGCTCCCGTGGGGGAGGGCCAAAGACAACAGACGGGGGACTTACCTGGTAGCAGGCAGTGCACAGAGGCCGGCCCTCTTTCTGGAAGAAGCGCTGTCCCGCCAGGGCAGCGTGGCACACTCGGCACATGAAGCACCTGGCGTGGTACTGCTTGTTCATGGCCTGAATGGCAGGGGCCCCGGAGCAGAGGACTTTGTGGCAAAAAGCACAAATATCTGGGAGGAAGAATTGCAGCAGCAGGAGTTGAGCCAGGGGAGGCGTCCCTCCAGGGCCTTGGGGATCAGGATCCTCCCCCCCCCCAGCTCTCCTCGATGCCCCCACCTGCAGGAACAGCCTCCTCTACCAGCTTGTCCGTCTCACCAGCCCAGTCAAAGTGGGAAGACAGAATCGGCATCTGTCCTAGTCCTGCTGGAAACGTGGAAGGAGCCTGGAGAGAAAAGGCACAAAGCAGGGGCAGCTGGAGTGCTTGAGGTGCCCTTGGGGTGCCCACCAGGGACATGACTCCGACCACCCACCGGCCCCTTGGCCTCCGGGCTCCACCCTCTGAGGCGGAGGTCTTTCCTCTTTGCTTTGCTGCCAGAGAGACTGTCCCTCAGAGGGGCCTGGACTGACCCCTACTGCTCAGCTGCGGCCTGCCCCCAGCACTCAGACCCCCCCCCCCAGCTGACTCCCAGGCACATCCGGGGAGCCAGTGTGAGGAAAGGACCTTCTCAGCCCAAGACCCTGGAAAGTCACGGTCAGAGAGAGCAGACGACGTGGTCCTCACGGTCTGACTTCACGCATCAACTAGCGCATCCCGACATGCTTTGCGATACTGCCAAGGATCCCGGGGCAGAGAATGCCTCTCGGGTTGTGTGGCGCAAGCATGGCAGGAAGCAAAAGGGGAGGGGAGGGGCCCGGGGAGGCACAAAGGTCTGAAACGCAGCAGGGATGGATGCTCGAGTGCCCCTGCCAAAAATATATATATATATACTTTTGAGAAGGGAAGAACATAAGAACATAAGAGACGCCAATGTTGGATCAGGCCAAAGGCCCATCCAGTCCAACACTCTGTGTCACACAGTGGCCAGAAATACCAGTGCCATCAGGAGGTCCAGCAGTGGGGCCAGGACATTAGAAGCCCTCCCACTGTTGACCCCCCCCCAAGCACCAAGAAGACAGAGCATCACTTGCCCCAGAGCCCCTAGCTATACCTTGTGGCTAATAGCCACTGATGGACCTCTGCTCCATATGCTTATCTAATTCCCTTTTGAAGCCGTCCATGCTTGTAGCCGCCACCACTTCCTGTGGCAGTGAATTCCATGTGTTAATCACTCTTTGGGTGAAGAAGTACTTCCTTTTATCCGTTCTAACCCGACCGCTCTGCAGTTTCATGGAGTGCCCACGAGTTCTTGTATTGTGAGAAAGGGAGAAAAGTACCTCTTTCTCTACCTGCTCTTTCCCATGCATAATCTTATAAACCTCGATCATGTCACCCCTCAGTCGTCTTTTCTCCAAGCTAAAGAGCCCTAAGCGCTTTAACCTTTCCTCATAGGGAAAGTGTTCCAACCCTTTTATCATTTGAGTTGCCCTTTTCTGCACTTTTTCCAAAGCTATAATATCTTTTTTAAGGTGTGGTGCCCAGAACTGCACACAGTATTCCAAATGAGGTCTCACCATTGATTTATATAGGGGCATTATTATATTGGCTGATCTGTTTTCAATACCCTTCCTAATAATCCCCAGCATAGCATTGGCCTTCTTTATTGCAGTCACACACTGTCTCGACATTTTCAGTGAGTTATCCACTACAACTCCAAGATCTCTCTCTTGCTCAGTCTCTGCCAGTCTTCTGGACCTGTCACCACTGAGCAGATAGAGGGGCTCTGTGACTCACACACACTCACACACACACACCCCGACTCTGCAGGGTTCCCCTGTCATCCCCAGGTGGGAGGAGCTGGGAAAGAGAATCTGAGCTGGAAGGAACCTCCAGGGTCACCTAGTCCAACCCTCTGCACAATGCAGGAAATTCACAAATGCCTCCCCCTCCACACCCCCCCCCAGTGGGTGACCCCTGCTCCATGCCCAGAAGATGGCAAAAAAACCTCTCGGGAGGATCCCCGGCCAAACTGGCCTGGGGGGAAAATGGCTCCTTGCCTCCCCCCCCCCCCCCAGCACAGAAGAAAGGGCCAGGAGAACTAAGCCCTGAGGCGACCCTCCCTGCCCTTCCGCTCACACATCTGCCGACGCTTACAGAGGAAGCCTGTTCCACTGAGGAACTGCTGGAACTGTCAGGAAGTTCATCCCCAATGTTTAGTGGAAAACTCTCCTGATTTAATTTCAAGCTGTTGGTTCTGGTCCGACCTTCTGGGGCAACAGAAAACAACTCTGCACCATCCTCTAGATGACAACCCTTCAAGTACTTGAAGATGGTGATCACGTCACCTCTCAGTCATCTCCTCTCCGGGCTGAACAGACCCAGCTCTCCTTCCACCTTTCCTCCTAGGACTTGGTCTCCAGACCCCTCACCATCTTCATTGCTCTCCTCTGGACAAGTTCCAGCTTGTCTATATCCTTCTTAAACTGTGGTGCCCACAACTGAACACAATACTGTAACCAGAGCAGAGTAAAGTGGTACCATCACTTCACGTGATCCGGACACTATACTTCTGTGGATACAGCCCAATATCGCATTTGCCTTTTTAGCTATGGCTGGGCGGAAGAGGTGCAGGATTGGGGTGCCAACTCCTGGCTCTTGATGGTGTACCTCTAACCCTGGCACCAACCACCAAGAACCTGGGCGTGTACCTGGATGCCTCCTTATCTATGGAGACTCAGATCACAAACATTGCCAGACTAGTCTTCTCCAGCTGTGCCATCTCAGGCAACTGGCCCCCTTCCTGTCCTGCCCTGATTTAGTCACAGTAATCCACGCGATGGTCCTCTCCAGGCTAGACTACTGTAACATGCTTTACGCAGGGCTGCCCTTGAGACTGGCCTGGAAATTATATCTTGTCTAGAATGCAGCGGCCTGGGTCCTTATCGAGACCCCATCAACAGCACATATTCAACCAGTCCTATGCCAGCTGTACTGGATCAGGTTTTTGTACTGACCTTTAAGGCCCTAAACGGTCTGGGGCCAGCGTATCTTCAGGACAGCCTCTCCCTATATACCCCCCCAAAGGGCATTATGCTCTGGAGATAAGAACCTCCTGGCGATCCCTTTTTGGCCCTGGTGCTGGCCTGGTAGAGCTCTCTGCCTAACATCATCTGGGCCAGGCAGAATCTAATGCAGTCCCGCAGGGCCCGTAAGACACAGAGAGATGTTCTGCCAGGCCTGTGGTTGAGGACCGCAACGGTTTGCCATCAAGCCCGGCCCTCCCCGTCTCCTCCGCTCTAGAAAAGGATGTGGAATACTCAACACCATCTGATTAGTCTGATTATTGTTCTTATTACTGTTTTAATTTTATCTGTTTATAACCAGTTACAGATCCACCTAACAGTGATAGGATCCAAACCACATTTTACCAACATGTCAACAAGACTATAATGCGGAATCTTATCAAAAGCCTTACTAAAATCAAGGTAAACTATGTCAACAGCATTCCCCTGATCCAGCAAGGTAGTAACTTTCTCAAAAAAAGAGATGAGGTTAGTCTGACATGACTTGTTCTTGAGAAACCCATGCTGGCTCTTTGTTGGGTGTTACAAGTCAAAACACTTCAGTATTTACAGGGTTAATGATGTTTGTTAAGTCACATGTTTGTTTGTAACCAATTTGTTTAGACAACAGAATGCCCGGGAACTTTGGGACTAATTTGCTAGTCTGATTGGAAACCAAGGTGTCAAGTATTTAGAGTATTGGTTTCTCCTCCCGTTCTTTGTTCTGACTGAGAAGGAGACGCCATTCGGCTCTTACTGTTTTACCTTTTAGCTGTAAGGATGTAGACACATTAGCTCTTTGTTATTTTATATCCTGTGTACCTTTTTCCCATGTTAGGTTTATAGTAAACTTTTATATTTTAAAACACACCATGGACTCAGTCTCTTAATACTCTGCTGACTTACTCAAAAAGAATCCCAACACTCTTACTAACCACAGCCGTTCTTCCTAAATGCTCAAGAACTGTTTGATGATTTGTTCTAAAACTTTCCCAGGTATAGATGTCAAGCTGATGTGTCGGTAGTTACACGGATCCTCCTTTTCCCCCTTCTTGAAGATGGGGACGACATTTGTTCTCCAAAAATTATCAAAAATAATGGACAGAGGCTCAGAAATCACATCTGCGAGTTCTTTTAGTACCCTTGGATGCAGTACCTCTGGCCCCGAGGACTTGGTTTCATTTAAAGAAACCAGGTGTGCATATGTACTACCCAAGCTATACCCAAGAGAGCCACACTGCCAGTCGGAGCAGACTATTCTGGCAGAGAAAAGGCAGCTTCAACTTCTTGTCTGGAAAAATCACCTGGAGGGAGGAGGGCTCAGAGCACGGAGGAGGAGGAGGAGGAGGAGGAGGAGGGAAGCCATCCCGATCAGGGTCCCTTAGGCTGCTGGGCAGAAAGGATGGAGGCGAGGAGGCGGAGCAACCTGAAACAGAACAAGACAAAAAGTGCTGGCTGGTCCCCAAGGCTACAAGGTCGCTTGCAGACACCTCAAATGGCAGGGGCGGGGGGGGGTGCTCAGGCTCAGGGAGGGCTGAGGAAGACATGCCGGGCCGTAAGCAAGCGCTGCCCGGGGCACTCCCTCCCCCCCCGCCCCTTTTGGTTTGCTCCAGGGGCTGATCCTTCAGCCTGGAAGTATGTTTTGGGCCCGAGCCCTGCACTCTGCACATGCTCAGAGCCCTGCTCATCTTTGTCATTCTGCCAGTAGAAAAGAGCTGACCTCTGACGGAAACCCAAACCCTGGGCACGGGTCCCCTCCCGGGCCTCCTGCCCTGCCTCGCCAGGGGGGTAGACTGTGATGCATCCCCTCACCTGCGCTGGGCCTGCCAAGGGCTTCCTGGGCCCCCTGGGTGGGGCCGGCCAGGGTCCGGGGAGGATTGGGACCAGCGGCCTCCAGCGCCAGGGTGGGGAGGGGGTGGGGGTCAGGG